TTTATTTCTTGTGTTTTGTGTTTTGTTTTTTTTTTGTTTTTACCGGTAGAGCTTTCTGATAGTCAAAATTCTGAAACTAACACTAATGCCTGATCTCCATAACTATGCTATCTTATGTAGATGTATATTTGGTCGAGATTTCCCTTGAAATCTATGATTTGTTCATTGAATTTGTCATGTTCAACTCTTGTGATTCTTTTTAAAGAGTCAGATTAGATAAATGTAAAAATGCAATTTGGTTCTCCTGTCTATCTTATAAATCTTTGTATTATCAAATTTGTGTTTGCCATTTTTTTTTTCTTTATTTGCATCGTTCTTATTGGAGTTCATGTAACACACACCTTTTGTTAAAAATAATAAATTCAATTTAAATTTTAGGAATATATACAATTTAATTGATGCTGACTTTTAAGATTTAGCGTGTTTTTTGCAAAAAATTGTTGCCAAATGTCACATGACCTCAACTTGGTGGCCGGAGTTACTCTGGCAGCTTTAAGACAGTGTTTTTTAAACGTCGTCAAAAAATATATCCCGGTATTTTAAAAACACTGTTGAGCCATGGCAACGGCTTTATACACGATGTTTTATGAAAAATGCCTCTACAAAAGGACAGTTCCAACAAATGTATATAGTTACATCTTGTTATGGAAGAGGATACTTAGTTTATTTTACTATTCATAACAATATTTGTTGATTCTCTTACATAATTTTTATTTACTTTTTTCCCCCTTCTTTTTCATCCCTTTGGGTTTGTTTACATCATTTTAATTTCATGGTTCCACATATTTGACTTATGAACTTATACTATTTTGTGAACCATTTTGAAATGAGTTAAGAATTAACATAACCATGTTGTCAATTGTTTTTTATTTATAGACCTGTCTTTCCATAACTATTTTGTGCCATTTGGCAGTAAGGTTCTTTTTTCGGTGAATTAGGGCTTCATTTGGTTCCGAAAATTCATCCTTCACACACATAATTCAAAAACATTATGTCAAACTCAACCAATTCAAAAGAGAAAAATTGATTCATTTGCTTGAGAATTTATTCCCCTGGTTATGTGGGTGTGTATTTAATCGCTACGCTAGATTTTCATGAGAGTTTTATAAAGCTTTTCATCTTTGACAGTCTCTACTCAAGAGCTTCCCACATTTTTGCAAATTCATAGATCAACCACAAGAAATTTAGCACCAGAACTTCTCCATTTGCATTCTTGAAAGGTTATTAAGTCTCAAATGAAACTGAAAACAAATTCATCAACAAATTATTTTTGAAAGTTATTAATTTCCACGCTTTGACGTTCATAGTCAGATGAAGAAATGAATCGTCCAAACTCCAATCCACAAGACTCCGGCTGCTTTCTGCAATGCTAAGATGTTGAAACATCCTTAAGCACTGGAAAAAGGGATGACTTCTCTCCAATAACTTAGAAGACTAGAACAGTTGAATCAGGCTAAGCCCATTTCGAATTTTATTTCAATTATTTGAGTTGTTCATCTTGTAATATCCTGTGTAGATTATTATTATTAAAAAAATAAAATTAATTTAATAATAGTAGTCACGTGAAATGGACAACAACTATAATTTTGACAATATACTAATTTTTAATGACAAATATGATAAAATTATCTATTATAATTACTAAATATATATAATTTTTTTATATGAATGATACACAAGGACATATAAGATCATTAGAGTGGAACTCAAGTCATAAATAAGAAATTAAAAAAGGCATTATTAGGAAAATGAGATTAATAACAGTACTTTTTTCTTTTTTGTAAAACATGAAAAACAGTTACATTAAAATAAAACAAACAACATACCTATTAACAAAAGAAAAACAAGACCTTAACAAGCCAACCAAGCAACAAAAAAATAAACCTGCCAAAAATATCAAAACTACGATCAAAGAAAAATCGCTGATGACTTTGCATGCACAAGAAGGCCATGGAGAGACATATATGTGACTAATGCTAAGATTATGGATTTGGATAGAAATTTAGAAAGAGAGTAAAAAAATATGTGAAATGTGAATGAAATATAATCACACACTTCTATAAAACATATCATGCAAAAATGTTATCCCTTCAAAATGAAACTCTTCCTATAAAAAAGGCAGCCCAATACACTAAACTTCCAGCCTTGCACCATCTGAGAATGATCAACAAAGGAAACCATGGCCATAAAATGTAATGTAAAAAAACAAAAAACAAAAAAATTAAAAAAAAAGAAAAAGAAAAATGGCCGTAACAGATTAAGTTCAATATGGAACTCTTGAGAACCTATACATCAGTTTAACTCACTGCCGGAAGATTTCAATGTTTGAAACAGATTTTCTACACCACTTAGTAGACAAGGAAGATCCATTCCTAACAAACATCACTTACATTTCCAAAAACAATAACGATGACAAGCATCTACATAACAGTGATGTTACTGTGTTTCATCAACCACCGCTCTGTGTAGAGAATTCAGGAACTCGGCCCAGTGGTATCATGAGGTCCTTCATTATCTCATACTCTTCTGCACTTATCTGTGCACCATCCAGGACCTATGCACCCACAACAAAATCCAAATGTTCCATTAACAAAAAAAAAAAATTAGGGTAACAAGAAAAACAAAAAGAAAGAATACAATATTAATTATGGGCCCAGGAAAATAAAGGCCACAAGACTTGGGTCCCATTCGCATGCCCATCACTAAGTTGGATATAATTTTGAGCCATTTGACTCCTTTAAGCTAATCTACTTGTCGTTGTTGGGTGTCTAGAATCCAGTTTGATTGTCAAATAATCAAACTCCAAGTTTCCAACAACTTCAAGAAGATTCAATGATTCCCAGTAGCTTTGATATTTATCACACTTTAATAGTACTTTGACCTCTACATGACACCATAGACGTTTCTAACACTTGATTAGATGCTGCGAAACTATCTCAGTAGTTTATCTATCCTGTTGAAATTTACTGAAGCATGTGTATGTAATGCTTTCATACAACAGAAGCCACTAGAAATTGAGGCGAAGGTAGCTGATATTGTCCATCAAGGCTCCTGGAAATGGCCTAGAAGAAGGAACAGGGTAGCTCGAGAAATAATGGGAAATAAACCTGATTCCTTGCTGCCTATGGCTAAAATACCTGATAGAGTCATTTGGACCCTGAATCCTGATGGAGTTTATACTACAAAATCAGCTTGACGAGCTATCAGAAAGAGGTATAATAAGTTTCCATGGTAAAAAATAGTTTGGTTTAGCCAAAGTGTCCCTAGGTGGGCCTTCATCCAATGAATGTGTTTCCGGGGAAAGTTGGCTTGGCTACCAAAGACAGATTGAGAGTGTGTGATGTGTGGTTAGAGAAGCTGGTTGTGTTTTTTGTAATCAGACTGATGAGTCTCATAGGCACTTATTTTTTTAGAGCAGCTATTTTACCTATATTTGGAAGAACACTTGGGTCCAAAACCTGGTTGATTGAAGGCCTCTTGACTTGGATGCTGAGATAGAATGGGCAGTGAGAGATTCTAACAAGAACTCCTTTCTGTATAATGTTTACAAGATATCCCTAATTACCACAATCTACCATCAGTGGATTGAAAGGAATTTTTTCAAGCAGAAAACTTTGAGACCAGAGCAGTGTTGGCAGAAAATGTTGATACGCGAATTACATTTGGGAAGGCATGTTCCGAAACATGGTACATTTTCATTTCAAAACGGTAAATTTGGTGATCCAAAGCGATCCCAAAAGTTTGTTCCTTAGTAGTAGGAATTGCTGAAGTTGCTCACAAATCAGTCGAAGAAGCGCGATTCTGTGCTTCTGAGGAAGAATCAGAGAAGAATCGCGAGTCTAATACTAGAGAAACGTGAATCTAAGAAGAGAAGGAACTTATCTAGATCCTCTATTACATGGATTCGTTGGTTTAGGGCAGGGTACCCGTGTCAACACGACACGACACGGGTGCGGGTCTGAGATATGTGTCGGATTCGGCATGGGTTTTTCGGACACAACTAACATGAGAGGAGAAAGGAGGAGGGTTGTTGAGAGAAACTTACAGTGGTCCAGTGGTAGCAGGAGGGTGAAGATCTATGTCGATCTCTGTCTCTGTGTCGATTTGTGTCATCTTCTCTGTCTTCATCTGTATCGATCTCCTCTTCTCTCTGTCTTCATCTCTCTCGATCTCCTCTATCTTCATCTCTCTCGATCTCCTCTCTATGTTTTCTCTTCTTCATCATCTCCTCATCGTCTTCTTCTTCATCTTCTTCTTCTTCTTCTTCTTCTTCTTCTTCTCCTCTCTCTCTGTCTCTCTCTCTCTCTCTTGTCGATTTGTGTTCTCTATCTCTCCTCCCTCCCATTTTTAACATTTAATAAATAATATAATTTGTTATATCATAATAAATCTAATTAAATCATATATAATAAAAAAAAAATCTAATAAAATCTATAAAATAAATCATTCAATTTTTATTTTTTATTTATTTTAACATATTTTATTATTCCTTATTTGTTATATTTTTTTATTTATAATATATATATATATCAATTAAAAATAAAAAATAAATTATATAAATAAATTAAAAATCAAGTGTTTGGGTTACTAGATGGTTTGCATAACCATCACGAAAAAAATGGGCTTTTGGGTTGTTTGTTCCACAAATTCAAATACAAAAAATATATCTACAAAATAAATAGATTTTAATTCTAAGTAAAATCTAACAATACAAAATAAAATACAATTTATTATAGTTATAATATATTTCAAATATTAATTGGAGAAAATTTTTTTATATCTCATCACCTATGTTGCACGGACACGGACACGGGACACGACACGGACACGATACGGACACGCAAAAACGTAATTTTCCAAAAAATAGGGGACACGACACGCTGGGGACACGTTTAATATATATAATTTTATTTATTTATTATATGTCTAAAATAAAAATAAAATTATTAATTCTTATACAATCAAAATAATAATAAAATTAATAAATATATTTTTTAAAAAAATTAATAAAAAATAAGTTTTTTTAAATAAAAATAATTTATTTTATGAATTTTAAGTTTAACATAAAAATAAGGATAAAGAAAAAAAAAAGAAAAAAGAAAAAAAAAAGAGGGGGGAGAGAGAAATGTTGAGTCCAAAAAATGAGAAGAAAAAAAATATAAAAGAGAAACGATAGAGGAGAGAGAATGTGAAGTCAAAAAGGCAGAGGGAGAGAGATCAGAAAAAGGAGAGACGAAAGGGAGGAGGAGAAGACGAAAATGAAGCGCAGAAGAAGAACAGAGATGATGGAGACAGAGAAGAAGGAGAAGAAGAGAAGAAGAAGAATACCTCAGTTAGGGCTTCTTCGATCCATCTCACGAGTTAGCTTCTCCTCTCCTTAGCTTCTGAACAGGTTAGCTTCTCCTCTCCCTTGATCTCTTTCTCTCCTTCTCTGTCTTCTCTCCTTTTTTGTCTTCTCTCCTCCCTCGATCTCTCTCTCTTTTCTGTCTCCCTCGATCTCTCTCTTTTCTGTCTCCCTCGATCTCTTTCTCTCTTTCTGTATCCCTCGATCCCTTTCTCTCTTTCTCTGTCGATCAAGGAAAATAGTTAGGGCTCCTTCGATCCACCTCACGAGTGTCCGAAAAGTGTCCCGCCGTGTCCATGGCGTGTCCAAACTGGAAGATTTCAAAAAAAAAAAAAGGAGACACGTTAGTGAGAGTGTCGGACACGTGTCTACCGCGTGTCCGACGCGTGTCCGTGTCCGACACGTGTCCGACGCTCGTATGCAGAGCCTGGGAACGTGTCGGTGCTTCATAGCTCATCACAATACATATATTATTTAAAATATACATTTTACATATAATATACAATCGTTTCCAACTACTTTTTTCATTTATAACATATATATATATATATGTCAATTTATTTATTAAAAAAATATGTACATGTATGTCACTTAAAAATAAAAAAAGTTTTATAGATAAATTAAAAATATAATTAATAAAAATAATACATAAGCGCTCCTAATCTACGATTCCTCTAAGTGGCCACGTTCTCCCGCTCCCGCTCCCGCTCCCGCTCCCTCTCCCGCTTTCACTTCGTGCAACTAAGGTTTATTCCAATATATTTCCTTAAGGTTTCCTCAGGAATAAAAATGTCAAATATAACAAACTAAAATCTAAGCTGAGTGAAATTTTAAAATGACAAAACATCAAAATGAGTCATAATGTTTATAAAAATGTGTTGCCATATGATTAATTATCAAAAATATTCTCTAGACTAAAAGTATACCGTAAACTATACAAGCCTACTCCTATCGTACCACAATTTAGAGCACGTGCCACGTTTGCATTTCCATTACCGTTTCCAGTCCCGTTCCACGTACGGTACCAGAAGGATCCATGTTTCAAGTAACATAGGACCAAAGGAAATCATATTCAAAATTGTGAATGCTGTTAAGACTAGAATGAGTTCTTGGAGAATACTCGAGTAATTGACACCTTTGTTTGGTTTGGAATATCTCTACTAGAATTCTTAATCCCACTCTGTTTTTGTAGTTAACATCTCTTGTAATTCTGAGCAATCTGTTTCCCCCTAGTGAGGTATTTTTGAAGTAGATATTTGTTTGCCAGTGGGCTATGAAAAACCTAGTGATAGTCACTATGTTTTGTTATCATTTTTGGTTTGCTTTTGCTTGATGGCCAGGGGGTATGCCCCCAGGTTGTTTTTGCACCTGGTTTGCTTTGGTTTGAATGAACTTCTAATTTACCAATATATATATAAACTTGACAGCAAAACAACAGGAGATTACTTCCTTTCTTCACAGTGGATAAATGGTATAAACGGAAGTGGGAGACAACAATGGTTGCAGGATAATCTGTCAATTTCTTACATTTAATCAAAGCTTTTGTCAAGCCTAACAATATGAAAAGGTAACAAGTTGTAACCTTGAGAATGCATCAATCACTCAACTGGTATTCCAATTCATAGAGCAACTTGTGATTATTAAGACATGAAATGAACTAATATCAGATACACGTGTGAACTTGACTTTAACATTCAGCCCAACAAACATTATCAGGATTATTATAACATGAAATGAACTAATATCAGATACACATGTGAACTTGACTTTAACATTCAGCCCAACAAACATTATCAAGATTAGGAAATAAAACAATAACTCCAAACCACAAATATTTACCTTTTCCAAAGAGTAAAACTAAAAGGTCTTGAAACAACTGGTAGACAATGAATAAGCATTAATTTTTATTAACCACTTATAAAAAATAAAAATAAAAATAGTTTAGGGCCCAGTGAGTCTCTACTTCTAATAGCACACTCGCTAATACAGCAGTCATTGTGATCCAAATGTACAATCAAGATAATAACAGATCCGAAGTAACCCAGAAACAAGGCATTTCTCAATCTAAATGCACAAACAATAATATAATGGTTAACATGTGCCTAAAACATTATCACTGAATTAAGCTTTTTCTCCATGAAGGACTTGGCTTGCTCCACATTAGGCTTCCAAATGAAATTCCAAGATCCATGGAGATGTGCATGAACGTATGTGTATACTATATTGGCATGTTTGATTGGAAGGATTAGAGCATGGGATTGGGATTATTAATCCGTGGGTCCAATTATGCTATGTTTGTTTTGACATTTTGTTTTAGGATTATCAATCCAATGGATAATTAATCCAACAAATTTGTAGAATTATTTGTAATGGGGTAGGGGTGTGATTGTGAATACCACACTACTTTGATTAGATTATTGATATCTCACTAATAGTCTTGTGGAATCAAAGATGGCCTATGTTCACAAAAAATTAAATCAGATTAAATTTTGTAGTAACCTCACCTTGCGAAGCAATGCCCTGCGACTTGTCATATGTGGAGTAAGTGCTGGAATTCTTGAAACAGAGAGAGCATCAATAAACAAAAGAACAATTACTTGCCACTGCTTCATTCTGAATGGGGGAAGTGGATCAATAAAAGACATCGTATCCAGCAAGTGCCTCTGTAAATACAACTCTTTAGTGAAAGTCTTATCAATCATAGCCAATACAGATGGCATTAACATCATAATTTTCTTTTTTCTTTTTTTTTCCTTTTTTTTTGGGATAAATATTAACATCATAATTTTCTTGGAAAGGATATTTTATTGAAATTCTATTACTAACTTGGAAAAAACCATATCAAGTCAAAAAACAAAACAAAACGAAACCAAAAAAAAACAAGAGAGAGAGAGAGAGAGAGAGAGAGAATCCAATAGTAGCATACAAAATTACATATACTAAACTTCAAACTAAATACATGAAGTCAAAGATAGAATTCATGTGAAGCCACGAAAAGGAATTGACCTCTTAGATTGAAAATTTACATCATGCAGATAACAACATATCAGACAAAAATATCCTGCCAACTCAGGCAAAAAGAATGGGTGAAATTTTTTGATCTTAACGTAAAGAACATACAGCACCACACTTCGGCCAAATAAGTCCAAACCCACACACTAGCTCCAACGGGAGCTATATTTTTTGAGTGAGAAGACTTAATGCTGAATAGGATGGGACAACTACTCAATGTATAAGGGTACACAATTTTTCTTTCTTTTGATCTAAAAGTTAAATAACACAAGCAGACAACCACATGAGCCAAAGTCCAAACCCAATACGCCACCTCCAAGAGGGTTCACTTTTTAAATAAAAAAATTTCGAAATCAAAAAAACAAAAAAATAAGACTCTCGAATAGAAATGGAAAACATAGTGGTCTGTTATCATATCTGAAGCAATAAATCACATTTTGGGGCTATAGTATAAAGCATTAAAAACTTAAATTTTAAACCGAGACTAAAATCTCAAAGGCAGTGTCTTAAGAAAGCTATTATGCCCTTGACAAATTGAAGCATGTCAATGATTATCACTTCAATTAACATCATATACAAATCTCATGATTTTGTAACAAATGATTCTCAATAATGAATCTATAAGGCATCCTACAGTAAAGCTTTACATGAGTAAAGAAAATTTTATGCAGGTTTAAGGCCAAAAGACATCAGATTTCAGAAGTCAATTACAGTCCCCTAAGTACTAGACTTAACGTGGTCAGTAAGATTGTCACTTAAAGCTTTGAGTCCTAAGACCCAAAATGGCATGTATATTCTCCAAATTGAACCCGACTATACGAATGAAAAGCAGAAATCCCTTTATTTTACACATCAGTAATAAAAACAAGTTTACAAGTTCAGAATAAGTACTACCATTCCTTGCTCGAGAGTAGATATTGGTGTTGGCAGCCTGAGATCTGCAACAAGTCCTGGCAAAGCACGGGCAAGACAGCCAGCAAGAGTTTGTTTGATTTCAGAAGAATGACCATCAGTTGATACAGTTTTCCGTGGGTACTCTCGTCCATTAACAGATAAATACTCTTCATGAAAACTATCACCCCGCCCATATATATAAGCCAAAGAAGATGATGATATCCATGCAAAGAGTGTCATCCACATTGTTGCAAATGGTGATAACTGGAAGACATCAAAATTGACATGGTACTCAAACATGCATCTGAAGTAGTATTGAAGGAAGAACAACTGAAAATTGAAGATAATATATATATTTAAAATTTTGTTCAGGTTGGTGGAAAAATAAACTTACAGTCAGGCTAAACCCCTCAGGTGCACCATCATACCAAGAATCCTCAGAATCAAACAAATTATAATTTGGAACCCCTGGTTTTTGGGGCCACTTTAAAGGAGTTGGTTCTGGTTCCAGCATATTGACATCCTCTTGGGATTCCTCTTCATCCGCATCATGGGGAGGTGGCAGTATAATTACTCCAGCTTCAGATACTGTATAAGAAATGCAATTAGAACAAATAAATGAAAACTATAAAGGAGTGCTGGAAATCATTGGCAAAAACCTGACTAGATTTCGACACTAAAGCTCACTACAAACATTAAAGTGTGTAATGACACACCTGCATCAGAAGCATCAGACTCTCCAGATGCCACAGCTTCTGCTGCTTGGCTCAGTGCAACAACACATGCTTCTGCCGATGCAAATCGAACTGAATTAACATCATCTCCTGTGTCTGGAAAGCTGAATTTATCAGCATACTCTTCTGCATTTTCCAATTCTTTAACCTCACAAAGGTTTTTATTGTATGCACCATCAGTTCTCTTATCGGCCCAAGTCACAGAGCGATGCAGTTTCTTTGCACCTGCAGATTTAAGAGAAGGTTTGGGCACAGCTGCACTAAAATGATTTGCTTTTACAGCATGGAATTCCTCTTTTGCTTCATCGGCATTTATTTTGGGACAATTTTGAGGATATGAAGAAGATTCCGAAATGCCGCTGATGCTACTCTCCTCTTCTTTTGTTTCTTTTAACTTGCATTTAGAATCAATTTGAATTGGAGCAGGAGTTATGTCCAATATAGTGAACTGATTCTCCAAATTTTCAGGACTCCCCTTTCCTTTCAATTCTTTAGATTTTGCAGTGGAAACAGTTGTCACTGGACCTGACGACATTTTTGAAATGTTATACTCATCTTGAGTGATTATAACACTCTTGAAGTCCATCTCATTAAATATCAAGTTCTTTCCCTTATTTGGCCTAGCACCATTAGGTTTAGATCCTGCAATACATTGTTGGCTCACTTCAGTTGTCAAAAAACATGCATTTGGATGAACTGAAATGCTGATCCCAGATTTAAAGGAATGAAAATAATATTAAGCCATTAGAAAGTAATGAAGTTAAAAACAATGTAGTTACATTTAACAAAAAAACCAATATAATAACTACCACATGCGCACCAATTTGCAATTTATACCTTCTATACGATTCTTGGAACGCAAAGGCTTGGCACTGCGATCGCTCTGTGGAACATAGCCTTCAACGGCATTTGATGGTCCAATCCACTCTTCCAAAGACATTTCCCCAGCCGTCCCATCCGTTTTTTCTTGAATCTTCAACTCAGATAATCCTAAATCCCCATTCCTACCCAAATCCACTTTCGAATCCAAACTCAATCCCTCAAACAACCTCAAAATCTCATCAAGTTTCGATGAATCCAAAACCGAACACCTCTCCTCCTGCAAACTCCCAGCAAATGCTCGGCTATTAACAACACAACTCGTTGAACAGTACATGTAGGTTTCATGTAGATCATAAACTTTATGCTCCTTCAAGGAAATGCGGTACCGGCCCTTCCGGGGTTGGTCGGAGGGCAGAGGGTTGGTGCAAAGAGGGTAACCACACATGTTTGCAATTGACCGCTCGGTCACGACATCTTGATAATCGCTCCGCGATATCAGTGACCCGGCCGCAAATAGCTGGTTTTCATTTTGGATGCCTTCAAGGAGAGAAAGTTGCAGCTTGTGAACAGCATCTTTCACAAGGATTGATTCAGTCTTTGCCATCAACTAAGATTTTCTGGAAGCAGAAGGAATTGAGAATTTGCTTCTCAACCAATATAAAATACATTGAGAATCCAAACAATTTATAAATTCAAAGAATATCAACCAATAAAACAGAGGGAATTCATACAATTTACAACACTGAAGTTACATACAAATTGAAAACAATGACACGATGAAGCTAAGTGAGGCAAAAGACTACTAGGGTTAGGGTTAACTAGAACGATTGATGTAGGAGAGAAATGAAAGACAAAGAAAAAAATTCAAAATCTTTACCTAAAATCGTGAATTCAAAACCAAGAATCAACAATTCTCTCTCTCTCTCTATGTATATATGTATATCTTGGTGCTTTATATATAAGAACGAATTGGAGAGTCGGAACATAGAGAGTGCCTCTGTGAACTCTCCTCTGTTCTGAGTTCTCTCCGCCGACATCGCATGTTGCGATTGCTTGGAATACATATAGCAGAGCATTCATGCCAGAAAAATAGAAAGGTCAAAATTACACTCACCTCCCTAGATTTGAACAAGTTTCGCATAATTACACCAACTTTGGTATAATTACACCGATTTTCATAGATTGTGTTTAATTTATAGATTTGTATAGATATTTGAAAAGGAAAAAATAAAAAAATTGTGAAATGTAGGTGATATTTCACCTACATTTTATCTATTTTTATTTTAATTTTCTTTTTTCTTTTTAAATTGTTACTTAAATTCATAAACCTCTTTTTTTTTTTCCTTTTCAAAATTATATCTAAATTTATATCCAAATTTATTAACCAAATACGGAATTAAAATGTTAATTCATATAACACTTAATTTATTTATTTTTTTATCAAAAATTCAATAGTCTCATGAATGAAAAAATAATATTATCAAATTTTTTACACTCAAATGTATATTTTACTTTGTATATCTTTGTGTGTTCATGTTATTTGCATTAATTTTGGTCTATTTAACTTTATTAAAAAGAAGATCAGTCTAATTATCTCGAAATTCTGAAACTTGTTATATTTTTTTCAAACTTCAAGAGAAGTTAGTGTAATTTACCCAACAAGTTATTATAAAGTATCATTTTATCTTTTTCTTTTTTTAACACAGAAAGGTGTTATTAGGGCTTGTGAGGCCTACTACATCTCTTATTTTGATGATTTAAATAGTTCGTTTTGTAAGACTCTATGTATATGTCACTCCACACACAAAAAATGACGATTTGATAATTATATTGCATTTAATTTATCGCATTTATTATAAAAAAAATGATAGTCTATTTTCAAACACACACTTGCCGTTCATTTTTTGAAAGACAAACGTAATAAATCAAATGGTTTATGATTATTAAATTTGCATAATTTCAAATTTTGTTATGGATAATTTACACGAAAAAGACTTACAAAATAGATGGTTGATCATTGAAACAAGATTCTTGGTGGGTTACATGAACCCAAACAGTACCCTTCAATCCATATCTTAAACTAGAGAAAAGCCCAACATTTTTTCCCCTCATATATAGGAATGGCCGTCATATCATATTAGTTTATATTCGTATCGTGTCATATAAAATTTATGTCAAAATGACTTCAGTACTAACTTAATTCGTTTATTTTCTGTCTATATCATTTGTATTATGATAAGGGGGTATTGTTGTGCCCCTTGTGGGAGATTGTCCCAAGTATTTTTTGATGATCTGAACCATTCATATTGTAGGGTTCGTCGAGCGGATCATCTACACAAAAAACCAAGTCGATTGGATATCTATAGCCCTATAACCAAAACACATTTGTTTCTATAAAAAATAATGGTTAACATAACTTTCCAAAAATTTTAAAAACAATTAGGACCTAATGATAGGGTTATAAATATCCGATTAACTTCATTTTTTACATGAATAATATTCTTGATGAATCCTACAATATAAACGGTTCAAATTATCAAAAAATATTCAGAAATATCTCTCATAAGGGGACAACAGTAACTGTTGTGCCTTAAGGCACAGTTGTACCCCCTTCTTCTATTATGTAACATGTTATGTCGAAAAAACTTATGATTAACTGAACAGGTGTTCTCCTTAAAGCTAAGCTGACAAATGCAATAACTAGCTAACAAACCATTCAAGTACCCTAGTGTTAGCACCTAAGACTTGGACACTTAGGTTGGCATGCGGTGACACCTTGCACCTACGTCAACCGTCCAAGTCAGGCATGAGGGAGGCATACCTAAGTCAATGTAACAATGCGGCAATGGCAATGCCACAAGACTCAAAGACAAATGATGCTCAATGTGGACAAATACAAGGCTATACTTAGCCCGAATGCTGTTGGCAACATGGACTTGTTGGGTTAGATAGATCAGTAGGCTTGACACTTACAATTTCGTGGGTCAAACTCATGAGGATTCAAAGGCTGAGATGAATAGGCAATTCATAGCAGTTCTATTGACATGATGTAAAGCTGACAAACAAGGCAGTTATTGACAGTTAGGCTTGCAAGAAACCATGACAAAGAGTGCTAGACTTAAGGGACTGGTCCAAGACAGTTCCAGGTGGTTTACCAGTAGTTATATTCTGCAGCAACCTTTGTTGATTTGAATTTACCCTAGCAATTGAGGGTGTCAACTGCTCATAACTGATTTGTAAATGCCTATAAAATGTTAAGGCATAGAGAGTTTTAGACAGATCATGTTATTTGTACGAATACTCATGTATCCTTGTGTTATCCGATGGTAATAAAGGTTGGGAATGGTTCATGTAATGTGTTTGTGCATGCTTGCTTGTTTACAAAACTCATAGTGGGTAATTCGTGCATGCTTGGCTGAGACTAAGTGTTGTAACTTAGTACGATTGCAAGCTGAAAATTTAAAATAAAAATTGAACCTGTAACAATTGGTATCAGATCTAGGTCGTGCTCTAATGGTGTCTGGCATAGATGCTTTAAAGGAAAAAGTGACGCGGTTAGAGAATCTCGTGGGTGAACCTACTGATGAGAATTGATCGCTAATGGATCGATTGGATGCTGTGACTTCTGGTTTCTTGCCCTTGAGACCTCGACAGCAGATCGGTTCAAGGATGTGATGACTGATATGCTTGCCATTTCAGATGCTTGGAAAGACAAACTGCAAGAAGTTATTGACGAACTCACCCTTGTAAAGAAGGCTGTCTGTGGGCATACGAATTGTGATGAGACTCTTTCGAAAATCAAAGTTCCTGACCCTAAGGCTTTCGGTGGTAATCGAAGTGCCAAGGAACTTGAGAATTTTCGGTGGGACATGGAGCAATACTTTAAGGTTGCTCATGTGCAAGAAGGGGAGAAAGTTAGCATCACAAGCATGTACCTTGCTGATGATGCTAAACTTTGGTGGCATACAAGTGTCGGAGATGATGTTCAACTAGAGATCTTGACATGGGAGACTCTTAAGAAGGAAATGAAAGAACAATTCCTTCATTGCAACAAATCTTAGTTTGCAAGAGACGCCTTGAAATGGTTGAAGCATTCCGGATCAGTGAGGAAATATGTGAAAGAATTCAATTCATTGATGCTTGACATCAAGAACATGTCTAAGGAAGATAAACTTTTTAACTTTATGTCTGGGTTGCAGAATTGGGCCCAATTTTCGGAGACTCAGTTTCAAAGATTTTCCTTCTGCTATGGCTGTGGCAGACGGGTTGTTTAACTACAAGTTAAGCAAGGAAGCCATATGTGAAACCAGCAAATTCAAGAAAAAAGGGAAAAAAAAGACTGGAGAGAAGAAGTCTGGTTTCAAGAAATGTAAGGATGGTTCCAAGTACAAGAAAAAATGGGGACTCTTCTCAGAATAATAGTGGGAAATCTAACAAAAGGTATTTCATCTGTAATGGACCCCATAGAGCGAAGGATTGTCCCAAGTGTAAGAAACTTAACGCTATAGTCGTAGAAAATAACAAAGGGGAGTCGGATTCTGAAGGGCCGACTAGGGTAAACCCCTTGCAATTGCTTAATGCAATTCACACAAACACAGCCCTTATGAGGGGTTTAATGTACATCAAGGTGACATTGAGAGGTACTGATATTGCAGCAATGGTAGACATTGGTGCCACGCATAACTTCCTGTCAGAAAAGGTTGAACAAACCCTCGGATTTCAAGTTACCCAAAGTGCTAGTCGAATCAAAGCAGTAAATTCAGTGGTTCAATCGGTACAAGGAATGGCTTCCCAAGTACAGATCATAGATGGAGATTGGACTGGACGGATTAACTTGATGGTTTCTTAGGGAATGATTTCTTTGTGAATGCAAAGTACAGATCATCAATACAAGAAATGGCTTCCAAAGTACAGATCATCGATGTCATCTTAGGGAATGATTTCTTTGTGAATGCAAAAGTGACTTTGATGCCATAATTGGGTGGAATACTTATTTTAGATAAAGACAAGCCTTGCTTTGTCGTTGGTTGCAGTAAATCAGACAAAGGCAAAGGCACAAAGTGAAAGACGAAGACCCTCTCAGCAATTCAAGTGCACAATGGTTTAGAGACTTATCTTGCTGCCTTGGTGGAAATCAAACTCGATCTGTTAGTAGAAGTGTCGGATGAAGTGGTAAATGTGTTGAGGGAATTTGAGGATGTGATGCCTCCGGAGTTATCAAAGTTTCTTTCTCCTCAGCGTGCCATCAATCACAAAATAAAGTTGGTTCTGGGTGCCAAGTCTCCAGCGAATGCACCATACAGAATGTCTCCAATGGAACTCACGGAATTGCAAAGGCAATTAATGGACTTATTGGATATTGGATTGGTTCAACCATTCAAGGCTCCCTACGGTGCCCTAGTGCTTTTTCAAAAGAAGTAAGATGGAAGCTTGCGCATGTGTGTTAATTATTAGGCTCTCAACAACGAGACTATAAAGAACAAATACCCAGTCCTTTTGGTGGCAAACCTAACCGGTTATGCAAGGCCACTTATTTCACAAAATTGGATTTATGTGCTTGCTATTGGCAAGTCTGAGTGGCTGAAGATGATGAGTCAAAGACTATATGTGTTACAAGGTATGGGTTTTTTGAGTTTTTAGTAATGCCGTTTAGGTTAACTAATGCCCCAGCTACATTCTATAATCTTATGAATGATGTATTCCATGATTATGTCAATCGGTTTGTTGTTGTTTATTTGGATGACATTGTAATCTATAGTGAGTCGTTAGAGGCTCACTTAACCCACCTTTGGATAGTGTTCACTCGGTTGCAAGAACACCATTTGTATGTCAAAAAAGAAAAATGTGAGTTTGCCCAACGGGAAATTAAGTTCTTGGGGCATGTGATTTGCAAAGGCCTTGTGAAGATGGACAACAGAAAAGTGTAATCAATCATGGATTGGCAAGTACCAAGCAAAGTGGCTGAGTTGCGATCTTTTTTGGGTTTGGCTAATTATTATAGAAAGTTCATTGAGGGCTACTCAAAGAAGGCAGCACTTCTCACAGATTTGCTCAAAAAGGACTAA